ACTTCTCCATCAGTGACAGTGAAGCCACTACATTTGTATTCTAATGTAACAGTCCTGGTTGTGTTTATAGAAGAAGTGAAAATGGCACTGCAGAAAGCAAAGATAGGAAAAGCAACTACTAGACTATACCAAGCATAACCTAAGGAGATATGTGCTGGAGGCAATACAATTTTGAGGCCTTTTGAATAGATAGAGTCTCAAGCTATCTGAAGGAGGGAAAGATACCAAAGATGGGGAAAATCTTGGACCTCATCATAACAAAAAATAAAGTTCCCAGAAAGAGCATCAGAAATTGTAAACAATATGCTTATTTTTCCACCTATAAAAATTTTGTAGGAAAATAATCTATATACACTTTGAGGTCATCCTTGTGAAAGAATTGTGAGAATTATGTGAACCAAACTGACTCCAACTTGAAAAACTTACTCCATTTTTTATAAATTCTACCTGCTTGCTAGTTGTGGAAATTGAGTGACATCCTGTTTCATTTCTGGGAAAGTCCACCTCTTGCCCTCTCCTCCCAATTCTTGAAACTTGCTTATCTTCCTTACAATTTAGAAAATCTTTAATATTTCCTCTAATTAGAAATCAGATTACCTAATCTTGTATCTTATTAATTATTTGCTTTCAATTCATAAAAATCTGTCTCCCCTTCTATTTGGAGTCCAGTGCCTTTCTGAGGGGACCTGGTACCAATTTGTTATGCAATTGGCATACATTGTTTAATAAATTGATATGCTCAGAAGCTTGAACATTTGTTTCCTCAGTTATTTCAGATTTCACCCATTACAGTTTTTGGTGAAGCCATCTAGGTAAAGACAGGGCTCAACTAACTACCAGATGGGCTTTCAGAAAAACTCCCTACAGCAGCAAGGGACTTCTTCCCAGAAGACTTACCCCAAAGGTTAGACTCTGCTTGCCTCTCCATATCAAATTCTTCCTAGATAAGGTCCCATATTATTGGGGAAAGTAAACCCCCATGCTGTTGGAAAGTAAGTAGCCCCAGGAAGTCCCTTTAAGGCAATAAATTAAGGCAAGCCTCTTCACCATAGGACAAATCCCCTTAGGGAAATAAGTTAGGATAGGCCTCCACATTATTGGAAAAATTTCCTTAGGGAAATTATGGGATGTGGTAGCAAGCATATTGATGGGAACCCCACCCAGGAAAAGTTGTTTTTGGCTTGGGACCAGGGGAAGAGCACGCTATAGCAAATTGTGAGAAATCTAGTTTAAAACTACAAGAGATTCAGCTGATAACTTATTTTGGTTTCAATTCAATACTCTCAATTATTGTGCATTAAAGAAATTAAGACCAGTCTAAATATATAAAAATCCAAATGGGTCCCAAATTTGACCTGAAGAAGGGATTTTCAATTACTGCCAATTTTACTGACTTTCTATCTGTCTGTTTTATTTTATGTATAATATCTTTGTTTTGTATTTTGTTTAGTATTGTTTATAGATTCTGCTGCCATGGAAGACTTCTAAAGGGAAAATACAATCAGCCAGGAAGAAGGCTGAAAAGTTGCAGCCAAAGCATTTTGAATGCTAGGGAAGATTAATGAAGTTTAATAGTTTCACACTTGAAGCAATTTTCCCAGCTTTCTGTAACCTGATGCTAAACATTCTCTCCCAGTAAACAGGACTAAGTTCTACTTTTGGCTTTCAGCAAGAGATTAGGTTAAAAAGGAAAATAAAAACTTGTAAGAGACTTTCTTTCTATCATTTCAGCCCTGGTGAAGTTGGAGTTACAGAGCTAAAGTCAGACAATCAAAGAAAGGAAAATCCCCCCTCCCCAGTTTGTAGAATATTGTGGTATTATAAATGAATTAGAGTTTGAATTTGTAGCTGAAATGTAATATCTTTATTGTAAATTTCAAAATTATGGCAACTGCTAAAAAAAATCTTAGTAGATTTTGGAAGTTTGCTGACTAAACTTAAGCATCTCTTTCCCCTTTCTGGAGGGAAGGCTTTTGATTTGGGAAAGAGATCTGAGAAGGGCTGATTCCATTTAGATCAGCAGATTTGAGGCAAGTGCTGAATAAGGAACTCACCCTCTTCTCTTTGTCCTGATACAGCGCCTAGTAGAAGCTTAACAAATGCTGAAATATTTTAATGAATTTTGGGGTACCACTTCATAGAATTTGTATTAAGGGAAAATAAGAGTAAGATTCTGTGAGAGATAAAGAGGAGAAACTTAAGCCAAAACCCTACCCAAGCAGCTTGGCTCCCTTTGGCTCTCTTTCAAACTTTACCTGCTTAAGCAGCTCTGGCTCTTGTTCAAGTTGTACTGGGAAATGATGAGCTGTGTGAGTGCTTTTGTTGTCACATAAAGGGCCATGTTGCCAGAGAATGAAAAAAAAGATGGATTTACAGTTTGCAGGGCCAGTTATTAACCCTTTCTTGACCACAAAAAAAGAGAAAAGCTAGTTAAAATCAGGAAGTGACTCAAAAATAAGTAAAATTTAATTAAGATATGGAAAGGGAGATTTATAACAAAGGGGGCCCCATGAAGAAAGACCACCAAACCCCACCTCCAGCTATGTGAGATCTCCTGCCCTACTCCCACTGTCATCTGGGCTCAGACATTGTTGTAGACAATGGGGATAGATATTCATAATGATGGGAGTGGGGAGGTGACCAGGAACTAGGAATGTCTTTTGGGATGGCTGAAGTAGAACTTTCAAAGCCTTATATACAGAGTTAATTGTTTAGGTAAATTAGAAGCAAGGTCACTAAAGATATTAGAAATAAACCATGCACTTATAAGCTCTTGAAAACCAAAAAAAAGTATTAGTATTGTAATTAATTGGGATTGTTTTAAAATTTTGTGCTATTATAAAGGAGAACTACAATGAGTGAAGATTAGTTCTTTAGATAACCTGGGATTCAATTGGGAAATATAGTACTCTGCCCCTGAAAGACTAGGTTAAGATGAGATGCATTTGGCTGAAATGACATCACTTAATTGGTAATAAGTTTTGTTTCATGTTTTAAATACAATACAATACAATATTTCGTGTTACTATTGCATTTTTTTATCATATTATGAAATTTGAGACATCATTGTCAGAAAAGCTGAGACAAATAACTTCTCTTTTAATCTGGATGCTGTTAAATGACAAATTGAGCTTTAAAACGAATGTGATAAAACTTTGCTTTATATTTTAAAACTGCTAAATATTTATTAGAGGTATATTTTTTAAAAAATTAATAATGATGATGATGATAATGATAATGTTTAGAGAAAAAGTTGCACAGACCCTTTAAGATATCTTTATCTGTGAGGTCCTTTGAGACTTTATATTCAGTCAGGCTCATCAGCTTATCATCTTATCAACTCTGCTGACTGCATGTTGTAAAATTCTAAAGTACCGAAGTTTGAGAACCTAGAACTGAGAACATAGGATTCCCTCTCTCACACCTTGTTGGGTAGGGGGGAGGGATTTACAGGTTTATTATAGTAAAGAGTGATTTTTCATATAAAAGTATTTGGCTATCACTTATTAAAATTATGAAACTGTATCTGAATAGTCTCTAGTAAAGTTATATTTTTTTATCCAACTTGATAATGGTGGACTTTGGATTCAAGTATTTAAGACAGTGCTTTGAATCTAAGGTCTATTTTTACCAAATGAGTTTTGAGTCAACTATCATGTATTCACTATATGTATAACTCAAAGAACTCCAGAATGTGATTATTTTTAATTGATAAGTGAAGGATAAATTAAATGTAACTATTAGGGAAACATGAGAAGATTAATAATATTCAAGCTCTAAGCTGTGATTAGTGAAATTTTTTTTTTGAGGTAAATGCTCAATGGGATTATAATTTGATAGCATTTTGAGTTTTGATTACAGGGATGGTTGTCTGAATTGTCATGAAGTCAATAGTAAAAGATCAAGGAGATAATGGCATGTACTATAGTGTGAGAACTGCTACAGGTGGCTATCTGCCCTGGGAAAAGTTGAGGGGATGACCTTGGCATGGCCTAAGGTAGAATCCTCTTAACTTAATTTCCTCATGGTGCAATTTCATTTTGAACAAGAAATTGCCCACCTGGTTAATCCTGAGCCTAGCTTTTGATAATCTATGAATAATGTGTAGCTTTGTTACATAATTGACTACTAAATATGAATTGTGCCTGGAATCAAACAGTGCTAAGGGAGTCTTTTCTCTGTTATAGTACATGGTAGGTCAGTTGGTAGCCTTAAGGGAACAGTCTTGACATTCTTATGACTATGTCCCTTCTTTTTCCTTTCATAGTAAATTTCTATGAACAGCTATGAATTGCAAATGTTTTTATTGTTGTGGTACTGAATCTATTAATTACATAAATTAATATTACAACATTTGAGTTCAAATTATAATATAGGAATGATATCTTCCTAAGGAAGAATTAGAATTAGACAAAGTAAAAAGGCAAAGATGTAATGTAAATGTTTTCTAATTAAAAGGAATAGTAAATTTTGATAAAGTAACAGGATCAGACTGTTTTTGCCAAGAATTAGTATATATACATATGCAAATGATTGCCTTCCAAACATTTCTAATGGGAAATTCAGGCTTTGAGTATGTTAAGTTCTCAAAATTGGATTAAAGATTTTACATAAAAATTGCATTGATAAAAAATTGCATTGTTGATTGTAAAGAAAGTGAAATCATTTTCCTATTTTGAAGTATCTGTTTTAAGAGACAGAAGGGCTCATTTCTAAGTCAGATTCATGAATCTTTTTTTAAAGATTCTTCTTTCAATCTATTGATAGCATTGTCCACATCAGGTACAGGGTTTAAGGAAAGAAACAACATGTGGTATGTAAAAATGAAATTCTCTGAAGTTTCAGGTAAATTATAGGCTCCTAATTTGATGTTCTTCTTATAGTCCTGTTGTTACTAGGATCAAAACCATAAGGCTTGACTGATTTTCATGACATGAACTAGTAAATGGAAAACCAAATTTTAAAAATTGTACTAAATTGTATTGTCTTGTTATTGGCAGATTTTTAGCAGAATTACCTAGGAATTTCTGCAAGTGACTTGGAACTGGAGAAACAGAGCCTCCTTCAGAGCTATCCTTGGAACAAGGCCAACAGAATTCCAACACTACTTTTCAGGAACCACAAGACTATATGAGACATCTGGGACTCAAGATAAATGTGCTGGTTAAATGTACATTGGTAATGGATTGCTAGGATTTGAGGAGATTTGATGTTATTTAATAGTGATGATCATCATTGTATTGCTTTGGACTTTTATTTATGATGTTTATGTTTGCTGAATTTTCTTGATTACCTTGGTGACATGTAAATCTCTCCTTTCAAAATTAGTCCATTGTGATAGGCATCTCAAACTCAACATGTACAAAACTGAACTTGTTACCATATCCATTCTCTTAATTACTCTATTTTTGTTATCAGCACCATTCTTCTAGTTACTCAGGTTCACAATCCAGGAATCATCCTTGACTCTTCACTCTGCAATACCCTCCATATCCAATCAGCTGCTAAGTCTTGTCAATTTAACCTCCATAACATCTCTCATAACCACCTGCTTCTCTCTACTCATACCATACCATTTTAGTTCAGGCCCTTATCATTTCTGACCTGGAATATGACAATAGCCTCCTAACTGATACGCTTGTATCCAGATGCTCCCCTCTCCAACCCATCCTCCACATCAGCGGCCAAACTAATATACTTAAAGCAGAGGTCTCAACACTCTTTTATGAAGCTTCTAGGGTAAAATAGAAACTCATTTGTCTGGCATTTAAAATCCTTCAAAATCCAATCACTTTGGATATCTGACTCTGATCCAATTTTCCATCCATATTGCTATTTGTGGTATATACTCCACATACTCTGAGTTCTAGTCAAAGTGGTCTACTTGCTGTTCCCTTACATGGGATACTTCATTTCCCATCTCTGTCTCTTGCCTTTGCGCTAGCTGTCTTCCATGTCCAGAACATTCTTTGTTCCTGCCCCCTTCTTCCTGCACAGCTCTGCCTCTTGGAATCCCTAGCCCCTTCAAGTCTCATCTCAAGTACCACATTCTATAAGTTATATTTTCTGTTTAGTCTCTCCCTCAAGAGTTAATTATATTTATTTTGTATATAGCTTATTTACTTATCTGTGTACATGTTGCACTTCTTCTCCCCAAATATAAGTTCCTTGAGGGCAGGAACTGTTTTAATTTTATTTTTGCATCTCTAATACCAAGTCTGGTGTCTAGAACATAGTAGGTACATGATGAGTGGTTTTTGAATTTAATTGAGTTACTTTTTATTTTAAAACATCTTTTAAAAATTATGAACTTAAACATCAAAAAATGAATATTTCCATACACAGAGAAATATAAAAAGAAGATTATGTAAAATCATGAATTCCTATTATGTACAACTTTTATTTTTTTTAGAAAGGAGGTGAGAAAATGATGCGCAGATTTATTCCAAGGGTCCAATAATGCTCTAGAATCTAGATAATAAACAAATTTGGTTAATTAACTTGGTCTCTAGCCTAGTGGCCTCCATGCCACATTTAGCATTTTCCCCTAGTAGACTTGTTCAGTAGCTATTTCTCTTTTAGCACTTCGCCTTCCCCCTTTCCATTTTTCCCTGTCCTCTAACTGGTGATACACAAGACAAAAAAGAATGATGGTTCTTACCTCGCAGAAGGGTAGGTGAATACTTTCCCCCCCATAGATCTTTTCTTTTATTGATCAATTGAATAGCTTCTTTTTTTAATGTACAACTTTTTAAAGTATAAAGTTAGCACTAGTATGAGCACTTTCTTGCTTGTCTTTGTCTCCCTTCCAACTTCTTTCTTTCTTCTATGTATTTTTAAATGTTTCATTGACAGCCTTTTCTTTCTTTCTTCTTAGTATCATTATCATTATACATCTACTCCTATCATTTCTCTCCACATATACCTTGAAGAAAAGCCCTCCATTGTAACAAATAAGTATAACTAAATTTGTATATTGTCCATGTCTGAAGATGAAGGGTCTTCTTTTCATTACCTCTTTGCCAAGAAGTGAGAAGTATGCCTCATTATCATTTTTCTAGGGCTAGTGATTGGTCATTGCATAACTGAATTGCATTCTGATACAGATTAACTCTTCTTTCTATTATTCTATACTACCTCTAGAGTAGGAACTCTTAATTCAGGGTCCATAGAAGGCTAAAAGGACTATGAATAGATTTGGGGGGTCCATTGTTTTTCTAATATTCTTATAACCATATTTCAAAGTAATGGTTTCCTTTGTAATACTACATATTTTATTATATGCATTTGTAGCAAGTACTGCTTTGGCTCACTATTCTACTACATCTCCCCTTCAGGATTCTAGGTGGTACTTTTGAGCACCACCTTCTTAAGCCTTTCCTGGTTGTATTTCTTTCACTGAAATGAGTGATTAGCAACCCAGTTTTCAAATGATCAATTAAAATCAATTAGCTTTTACAAAGGAATATTTACTTTGAATATATAGCCAGAACAAAAGTGCAAAGCCTTGCACACACACACACACACACACACACACACACACACCTCAGAGGAACATCCCTTCCTATATCCCTTTGGGAGAGTGGGTTCACTCAATGCAGTTTCTATATAGCACTGGTTCCACCAAATTCACAACCAAAAACACCATGCTTGCTCCATAAATCCTCTTCATCTCTACTACCCCCAAAGTATTGAGGCTGTAAAGCCTAGCATGGACTGGACTTCCAGGTGATCAGTTGCTTTGCTCACCTAACATTTTAAAACTCATGAAGTCATAGTATCCGATCCCATCACCTAAGATGAAAGAATAAATGCTGAGACAGAAGACTGAGGTCCATTTTTCATGGGCCATATGTCAACCTTGTCTTTTCACAGCATTGTTTCTCACTGGATACTGCCAGCAAAACAAAACAAAAAAACAAAAACAAAACCTCAAAACCAAGAGAGGAGATGCAACTTAAAGACAGCTGAAGATATCCTCAGTTTCAGTTGTGCAATTGCAGCCAATTAAAGAGGCTGCTATTTGCCAAAAAGTTCAGAATAATGATCAGAAATCAATCAGAAACAGTTACAGAATGTCAATGTCCGCTCCTAAATCTCTCCAGCACATTTTCGTTACACATCATCCTGACTGTCTTGGAAACAGGTTCCCCAGCCTCTTCTATAGGGGGAACAGTATCATGGATATTCTGTGCATGTATCAGTCCGTCCAAAACTTAAAATATTATTCTAAGAAGGAGTCCATAGGCTTCGCCAGACTGCCCCTGTTAACACAAAAACAAAAAGGTTAAAAACCATGCCCTAAAGGAAAGCATCATTAATGTAAAAAAACTTGATTTGTCCTAGGGACCTATACTGTTATCACTTCCAATCTATGGGCTAAAAAAGTCACTTCTCTTGGATTTAATTTCTTCCTTTGTAAAATGAAGCATATGGCTCTATGAAGAATATGGCTACCAGAATCAGAAAGTGCTGAATTGGAAGGAACTTTGAGAGTAATATAATATAGCTCATGTCTGATCCAGAATTGTCCCTACAATACCCTCAACAAGTGGTCATTCAACCTTCATTTAAAGACATCTAGTGAGGGTGAAGACATTTCATCACAGCCTCAGTAATGGACAATTTCCATTCCCCCTGAAAATAAGAATTTATTCCTAGCTCCCCCTAAACTCTGATAGGTGAGACTTTTACTTTATCTAGTCAAGACCATGGCAGTTTCCATTATTCTTTCAATAAACACTTACTAAGTGCCTGCAATGTGCCAGGCATTGTGTGCTAAGTTCTGGGGATATAAGTAAGAAAAAGAAAGATAGTCTCTGCCCTTAAGGCACTTATAATGTACTGAAGAGGACATATGAATGGAAGCTGGAAGTGGGAGGGATACTAAGGGGTACTCAGGATCACTGTTGGGGTCATCTTGTTCCATGAAGTTGAAACCAAGAAGAACTGCAGTTGCAAAGTGAGGGCTCCTTGCCATGCTCCTTGGCAGATACCTTTGCCCCACCTCACCTCTCTCCCCCAGTTCCTCTTTATGTGTTGTCTTCCACCATTTGAATGTAATCTCTTTGAGTGTAGAAATTGTCTTATCTGTTTTTATATGTATCTCTAGTCCTTAGCAGGTCATTATTAGCATTTATAGATATATAGATAGATATCATTTATTAAGATCTTAAATGTTTGCTTTCTCTCTCGCCATAATTTATTACCTATCATCTATCTGTCATCTTTTTTCTTCTTTCTCTCTTTCATCTTTCTCATTTAAAGACATCTAGTGAGGGGAACACACCATTTTCTAAAATAACCTACTTCACTTTTGAATAACTACATATTAAAAGATTCCCCCACTAAATATATCTCCCTGAAAATTCCACTTAATTCTTCTAGTTCTGTCCCTTTGGACAAAGCAGAAGCAGTTGAATACCTCTTTTAATTAGTCCTTGAAACAGTTAAAGAAAGTTATCATTTTCCCCATAAGTCTTCTCTTTTCCAGACTAAAAATCTAATGTTCCTTCAACCAGTCCTCATATGTCATGGACTTGAGGCCTATCACCATCCTGATGGCCCTTCTCTGGGTACTCTCTGGTCTCTTCTAGCCCTAAAATTCTGTGATTCAACTCCTTTCTTAGTGACTGCATGCTCCGTCTTTCCTACCCAGAAAGTCTGCATGTTTACAAACCAGAGGTGAAACACTGCCGGCCTAAAACCCTTGTTTCTCAGATCATTTTGGTTAGTGGAACTAATCTAGACTATTTGAGCAGTGAGTTCATTCTGTCCACTTCACAAGTGTTTGCTCTCTCCAAGTTTCTTTACAAGGTGTATAGACAGTAACTACTGCCTGTGTGTGTGTGTGTGTGTGTGTGTGTGTGTGTGTGTGTATAGCTTTAGGGTAAATAGCACAATAGCACACTGTGCCTTAGTACACTTGCTTCATGATACAAAATTTACCAAAATAATTCTTGGAAACTTTGTGTTACAGAATTGTCTAGATGAGTGGAGAATGGAAAAGAATGATCCAAACTGATAAACAGTATTTGTGACACTTCAGAACTTTAAAAGAAGTTCATTACAGCCAGAAGAGACCTTAGAATTTTTCCAGTCTTACTTCCCTATATTACAGATAAGCAAACCAAAGCCCAGAGAGATGAAGTAATTTGTCCAAATCACATAGTTAGTAAGTGGGAGA